CGGAACCCAGCGGATGGAGTCCGACACCCGGGCCACCAAGAAATTTCCGAGAAAGCGACATGTTGCAAAGTGACCGAACACGTACATACCCCAGGAATGGTATGGTAGGCGTTGTAAGAAGCAATTTTCGGGTTGATAAAAAACACCAAGTCGAGCGGGTTCTCTGCCTCCAACTATGGCGGCACCCACGCTCATGTTTCATGTCCGCCTCAATCCTAAACAGCTACAATCTGCCCTTTCGTCCCTGTAGCGTTTCACTAATCAATGCCACCTCATTGGTGTGGTATCCGGCATTATCATGATAGGAAGTATTGTATGCATACCTTGCAGGGTGTTGTTCTCCAGCCTCAGCTTGTGGAGGTTGGACAATCTGCACAGGTCGACGGGGATGGGTCCTGGAGAGAGATCGCACGCGCGTGCGGGAATCGGTTCCAGGACAGGGACCACCCGCGGATAACCAGCAGAGGAGGACGACGAGGAGAGAGGAGGGTTGGGGAGAGACAGAGACAGAGACAGAGGCAGAGACAGAGGCAGAGAGAGAACACACACACAGAGCAAGTCAGAGAGGGACAGAAAGAAGGTGGAAAACTGGAAAGGCGCGTGGGAATCACGCGGGGCGGTGAATCGGCAGGCATGCCAAACGATCCGCTATGCATTCACCGCATGACAGGATACGCGGGCTGGTACTCGGTGATGGTACTGTAGATGCCAATGCTTGGCATCAATCCACACGTACCCGAGAGCGTGTTGTGGTTGAGGTACAGCTGCTCCAGCAAGCGCAACCCCCCCAGCTCCCGTGGGATGTTCCCTGCAGACAGAAGCAGCAGCAGCAGCAGCAGCAAGAACAACAACAACAGCAGCAGCGGCGGTCGGCGTGAACATCGTGTAACGTTGGCGGTGTGGTTCGCACGTTTTAGCGGTGGGGAGGGGAGTGCATTGGCTACAGCGGCGGCCGGCGGTGGAGGAAGGGAGTGCATGATTGTCCTGCCGCGGACACCGCATGGGCGAGATGTAGACCGTCGCAGCACAAGAAAACATACATCAGTGAGAGATGCTTGCGGGATTTAAGGAAGAAAAGCGAGAAATGCAGCGACACCCCTCCCCACGAACACACTCCTTATGATGGGCCACCATGGCCTTCCTTCTCAGTCAGGCTAACAAGTAAAACGACGACCCCCCCCCCCCCCTCCCCCGTAGGCGTTTTCCCGCATATTCCCCTATGGAACAAGCACAACTCTGAAGAACGAGCCTATCCCGGGACAAAAAAAAGCACTGAATGATACTTTTCGAGAAAAAAAATTGCCTCAAAAAGACCATTAAAAAAAGCACGTGCATTCAAGAATACTTCGTACTTTGTAGTACATATTACGGGGAAAAGGCCAATCTCCTCCGACAACAACAAAAAACCACGCCAAATACGCATCCGCAGAGCTGACTCCTAACCTGACAGGCGGTTGTTGCACAAGGCAAGGTGCTTGAGCTTGGACAGCCGGCCAAGCTCTCCCGGGATTTCCCCTGCAACACCAACGCCAGCAAGAGGTTGTGGGAGAAGCATTTTTTTATTTTTGCAAAGACAGGGGGAGAGGAAGCACGGGCGTAGGGGGGGGGGGGGGGGGGGGAATCCTCTTGGAAAACCCTGGCCCAATCGGGAAAACCAAAAAAGGGGGGGGGGGGGGGGGGGGGGGAAAAGGAGAAAAAAAACCCAAATCGAAATTTTTGAAACCGGGG